TTGCGCTGAGGAGGCGATGCGAGCTCGATGGAGCAGCGGCGGTGGCGACTGGAAAGAGAGGAAGAGAAAAGAAGAATGGCGGCGATGCTTTGGCTATAAAGGCCGGCCAGGAAGCAAGAGGAAGCCACGACACGGCCTTCTCCACGCCAGCGCGACGCCAAAGACGGCCACGACGCGCCTGGAAGCAGAAAGAAGCTCGATGGCGGTGACAGCTGCCCGTTGGTACTGTTCATCAAAATTACCAAATTGCCATTCATTTTAAAATCCCAATTACTCCCAAATTTATGTAACAACTCAAAAAATCTCCAAAAATAAAAGTTGCTCAAAATTCAAAGTTCTACAACTTTGCTTTTATAACCACCCCCTAATTCTATCTATATTTTGAAATGCAAATTTGAATTAAAAAATGGGACATTTGAAGAATTACGCCTTTTGAAATTACTTCAAAATTTTCTAAACAACTTTGAAAACTCAAAAAACCAACTTTGTATAACTCAACAAGCACTACACTTTTGCTTTAAGGCTCAACCCCAAAATGTGCTTAGATTTTGAAATGGGTTTTCCAGGGCAAAACTTAAATGCTGAAATTTAGGGTTTTCGAAAATTCAAATCCAAACAAAATTTTGAACTTGATTCAAACCATACAAGGCAACACTTATAACATAAATGTAAACTTGTTTTAGTGAATGCATATCAAAGTTTTCACTAAGACCAAATGCTTTGCAATGCATATGATGACATGTCCTGTTTTAGGTTTTAAATCACCAGGGGTGTTACAATCATTCCCCCTAAAAGAAATCTCATCCTGAGATTACAAAGTGCGAAAAGTGTTGGGTTGAGTAATGGAAAAGGAAATGTGTCAAGCATATTAACTTTCAAGTTGTTCATAAAACAACAAGAGTTGACTTGAAATTGTAAATGAGACCAAAAGATTTTCCTCTAGGATGGTGTGGAGGGATCCTTCAGATGTTGGCCGATTTGGCAACATATTGATAGTGTAAGAGCTGGAAGGACAAAGGATTTAGTAACTTCAATGGAATGATGGAACATGAATTCCAAATGAGAGTTCCAAGATGAGTGAATCACATTAATTGTTAGGACCTATAATGGATCATGACCTGATCGAGACCTTGATACCGGTGAGTTGTTTTGCGAAGATGACCTTGGAGGCAGTTCGAGATCGGATTTCTTGTTGGTGTGGCAGAATCAATCTACATTGTCTCGAGACCCTGTCATCATCGGCATTGATGACCTAGGAGACATCGTAAAATCATGGATCATGGCACGCAAAACCACCATAGGGCACAACTAAAGTAACTCACAAGTAACACTTGTCAAGCTAGCAAGGTCAAGAAACTAGCATGTATTGCATTTTGGAGAAACCAAGACATGATACATGCATAGGTTTGAGAATTCAAGGATTAGTCCCAAGTTTCAACATTGAGTAGATGGGGAAAATTAAAGTGCATCAAGAAATTCCCAAAGATGTGGAACTTATGAGCAAATATAAGTCTTCATCTTGTGAAATTTGGACTACCTTTAGCGGTAGCGACCATGTAGTCTGCCATGGGTATCCGGGGTCGCAACCCCCACAGGTGCTTATATGGGCTTTCCTTTATGTTTTATCGTAAGTTTTAGGATCTTATTAAGAAGATTTGTTAGCCATGCTTGAAGATTTCTTTAAGGGACTATTTGGATCCTTTTATTTTGGAGGAATCAAAATCCATTTAATGGAAGGGTATTTGGCTTGGAATTTGACATTCCATAACTTTTTAAAGTTCACATATAAGTTTATCTCAAATTTATAGGATGGAAGATGCAAATTGATTATATGGATCACTACGCTCTTCAGCTCACATGGCCAATGGTAGTATACAAATATATTCCACATACAACCATATTAACTCAATTGATTTATACCTAAATTATGATTATTAGAATGGATTTCAATTCCAAGGATCCGCATGGGACCTAAGGGTAATTTAAACCTAAGTAGATTAAATTTTGCAATGTTATCTCATTCCAAAAGTGGAGGAGGCTAAGTCTATGAAGAACTTTAGATCCATTAGTCTTATTAATTGTAGTTTTAAAATTTTCTCCAAAGTTCTTACTCTTAGGTTAGGTAAGATCATAGATAGATTAGTGTCTGACAACAAAGTGCTTTTATTCAGGGTAGATATATACTAGAGAGTGTTGTCATTGCACATGAGCTTGTGCATAGTTTAAATTCTTCTAAGGTGGTTAGATCTTGTACGAAGGATTGCGGGTGTGTAGCATGCTCGTGCCGGTTTAGGAAAAAAGTAATAACTAGGTGGATTCGCCACGCGTTGCAGCAGAAAAGTTGAGAAATATATTTCTTTTAATTTATAGAAGACCAAATATCATATTTGATAGGAAAAGGCGGATGCTTTTTTTTAAGTACTAGTATAATGCCCGTGCTAACACCGTGGTTTTATTTTAGAGATGCACATTAAAATAACCAAGCGATGATATAACAATAACACGGATTTATGTCTAATTTTACAAGAATCACTGGCTACAATTGAGGGATCAAGAGAACAAACTCAGAGATGTTTCACTTTAGAAGAGGCTATCGATACAATTCTCTTCTACAGTTCCATTACCCGTGACATTGCATACAGGGCTGCGATAATTGGACTGGAGCATGAGCAGCAATCAGAATTTGCTTCTGCTCTTCGCCCAATAGTTAGCATGGTAGGACAATCCATTCCAAGGAGTGATGGTTGACTGAAACCACCCCATTGATGAACGTCAAGACATAGGAAACAGTCACAGAAACTGTCAAGATGGAAGGGGTCGGTAAAGATCATGTACTTGTGCGGCCAGTTCCTGAATTTTGACATCAGGCAGCATGAAGCCTCCAAAGGTCGAATCAAGTCATTTGGTTTTAGTTTGTGCCGAGTGTGCAATGTCAGTTCCTCGCAGAGGGAGCTACAAGCAAATGGAGATAGTTCAGAACCATACAAGAAGTGTTATAGCTAAATTAAACAATTCAACAAATTCCAGACTCAGGTACCAATATAACAACTGTTAGCTGCAATAATTAAAATATCATCTTATTAGCCCGTTCATTTTGTGCTATGTTATCAGCCAAGAGAAATGATCTATGCATACAAGCTACAATCCGTTTACTGCCAGATACAGTTGCAGCTAATATTGAATACTTTACCTAACTTATTTGCAATGCTACCTCATGCAAAAATGTGAAATATAGCCACTGCATAGTATATAAGTTAACTACAGATATCAGTGCCTGTGCTAATGTTACGGGCCATATTAAGTCCAAAGTTAATTCTAGAACAATATTGGTCTCGCGCCGTGCTAACGCTAGTAGTGTGCCCTTGCTATGGACTACAATATTGGTCTAGCCGTGCCTCATTTCAACATAAGGCAATCATTTTTCCCTGAGCCATCTTCCTCTAATTTTTGGTGCAAAACTTAAAAAGGATACCACAGTGCACAGTTCAAAAACTGAATGAGCGATAGAAATAAAATATTATCGTATAAAAATCTGAATATGTACAGTCAAGTATAAACTAACAGCAAAAATTGTACCTTAACTTCTGGTGACCAATGATCCATGGTTGTCAGGGCAGATGGAATGACTAACCAACACAAATCCCCAAGCTTAGGGTAACTTACCAGAAATACAAAAAATAGAAACTGAAGTAAACATATCGTGTCAGGCACATGTAGTGAATTGTAGGAGTGTCAGATGCACCAAAAAAATGAGATGCAAAAAATAGGCATTGCATAACACAGGCTGCCCCTTCCCCTGAAATGTCAGGCAATAAACAAACATTCCAATAAGCCCAAAGTTTCAGAAACACACATGCTTGAATAAAGCATGTATGTCAGAAATTAAAGGATCTGATCTTTTGAAAAAGAATTAAAGGATCTGACATCTTTTAGTTCTGTCAAGCAACCAAATGACTATTAATTGTCATGATACATTAGACAGATAAATTCACCTTGCAGTTTATTCAAGTCATGCAAAAACCTGCTTTTTCATCTCTTTGGTGGCAGGCAGACAAAGAACCTATCTGCATCTGCACCAATCTGGTTATGTTTTCTTTTCCATTGTGATCTCTCTGTGATTTTATTTATTTAGTTAAATAAACTGACAGTTCATTTCAGAGTGACATTTATAAACATAGTATTCAGAAATAGACTTTGGTACTATTGAATTTATATAAGAATTCAAGTATCCAAAACTATTTCATAAAAGTATTCTTTTAACAGCACGAAAGAAAGCTTCCTGTGTTCTTCAGGTACAGCAGGTGTTATCATTACAAGCCGATGTCCAGTATATCAATATCTGTAATTTTGTCATCATGTTTAAATTAAACTACCCTGTTTTCTTGAGGTACATGGCTATCTCTGATCAAGATTCTAAAGGATATTTTGACCTATTAATCAAGATATCTTCAAAAATTCTTTCTATAATCTCCACGACCTTGTATTTTCCTACAAATCATTAGAATTCTAATTTAAGACGGTCTGAAGTGGACTTAGGAAACAGTATGTCATCAGGCCCCATACTCCAGCCCAGCCCAGCAACGCCAAGGCCCGAAGGAGCTCCCGCACCAGGACCGCGTCCAAGAGACTGAGTGGCCCCGAATGGGCTTGTAATGTGTGTGTCGCGGCCCAGAAAGGAAGTGAGTAGAAATAGGCAAGAGAGAGTGCCTAAACAGGCAAGCTGTAAAAAATTGAACACTTCTTCTTCGTTTACAAGTAATAGACCTCGCCAGCATCCTGCCGCCGCCGAGGAACCACTTCGCTGTATCTCTCTCTCTCTTAGCTAGCTGCTAACGTTCTGGTATCAAAGCTACCGATCTACGGCCGGAGCTCTGGATTATGCGTCGCATCCTCACTTCACGCGCCTCCAGAGATCCCACGGAGCAATGGAGCCTAACGTCAAGACGGCGTTTGAGCAGATCCTGAGCCGCCTCGACTCCATCAATTAGCGGTGCAGGCGCATGGAGAAGGGCGTTGCCAACAGCGCGCACGCGAGGAGCGGGACGCGGCGGTGGAGATCCGCGTCGACCAGCTGGAGAAGGCGGTGGGAACTCAGGCGACTTCGTCCTCTATGGACGCCATCCAAATCCAGGCGCAGGAGGAGCGCACTACCACCCTCGACACCCGCCTCACTTCGCTGGGGGAAGATCTGCAACACCCAGTCCCACGCCGCCGTTCTCTTCGACATCTGTGCTCAGGATTTCGAGCAGAGGATCGCGGAGGCGGAGCTGCGGATGGGCGACCTCGAGCTGCTTCGCATCTACGAGCTGCAGGATGAGCGCGACGAAAGGGTTTCGGCCCTGGAATCCGCTGCGTCCGTTCTGGAGGAATGGCGGCCGTTCGTTGAGGGGACGCTTGACGACGTGTGCCTCGAAGTTCCACGCCTCAAGCAAAAGGTGGATCGATCTCTCTTGGACTCAAGCTCTACGCCCTAGGCATGGTGATCTCCCCTGTTTGTGAGTCGATTGCCGCGCGTCCTCCTGCTGCTGGCTTCGAAATCGACTGGCCCGATGGGCACCGTTCTGCACCTACGGCTCGGGAGCAGGGCCATGGGTCTGTGACGACCTTGGTTCCGAACTAGAACAATGGTAAGCTTGAAGCTCCTCCTCCTCCGATGCAGTTCAATTCGTGTTCGCAGCCGTGTGTTCCTATGAGTCGCCCTCCTGATCCTCCACCACCACTTCCACTGAGTCACTACTATCGTCCATCAAATCATCCTCCTGACCCACCCCCTCCACCAATTCCACCGCATACCTTCTATTGTTCACCTCATCCTGCATACACCTACCCAACTCCATCAATCCCTCCACCAATTCATCAGCAATTCGTTGCTAGTCCGCCCTACCCCAATCCTATTACATCGCTTCCACCACACCATAGCCAGTTCAGTGCTCCTGTTCCGCATTCCAGTCAAATTCAACCCATCACAACTACTCTTCTTCTCCATCCCAATCAAATTCAACCCATCACCACCCAAGCCCAATTATATCCTAACTACATGCATCTTCCAACATTCCCAACTTACCCCACCCAAGCCCCTCTTCCCCACGACTTCAACCTTGGGCACCTTCCTAAGACGAATTCCCCTCAGTTTGATGGCGATAACCCTCAGCTCTGGATCACCCGTGCCCAAAATTACTTCGAAATGTACTCTGTTCCCCACCAAGTTTGGATTAGAGTTGCTACCCACCACTTCATCAGTGCTGCTGCTCGTTGGCTTCAGTCTGTTGAGTGTAATCTTCCTCATGATTGGCAAACCTTCTGCCACATGATCCACCAATGTTTTAGCCGAGACCAGCACAAGCTTCTCATCCGCCAACTCTACCATATCAAACAAATCACTTCTGTCCAAGACTATATTGAGCGCTTCACCGAATTGGTAGAACAACTCTCAGCCTACGCTACTCCTGATCCCCTTTATTACACCACCTGTTTCATTGACGGCTTGCGACACGATATTCGTTCCATTGTCATGGTGCAATGCCCTTGCGATTTGGACTTTGCCTGCACTCTTGCTCTGTTACAGGAGGAGGCACTGGAGCCTGGCCACAGAAGAGATTTCAAGAAGTCTGACACTTCCATTTTCTCCAAGACGGCCAACATCAAAGGGGCTTTACCTCTCCCACCACCCCTACCTCGTGCTCATGTTGCTACTGACGAGAAGAAGGGTGCTCATGCTGTTCCCGGTTCATCTACAGACGACAAGCTCTCGGCCTTGCGTTCGTACCGGAAGGCTCGTGGGTTATGCATTCGGTGTGGAGATAAATGGCACCCAGGCCACAAATGTAATCTTCAACTTCATGTGTTGCAAGAAATTTTTGATCTCTGCCATGAGGATTGCCAGGAGACTGACAGACAGTACCTGCGAGCAGCTGACTGAGGAGGAGGGTCACCTGAACTTGCTGTTATCTGTTGCTGCTTCCACCGGTCAGCCCTCACGGCCTTGCGTTCGTACCGGAAGGCTCGTGGGTTATGCATTCGGTGTGGAGATAAATGGCACCCAGGCCACAAATGTAATCTTCAACTTCATGTGTTGCAAGAAATTTTTGATCTCTGCCATGAGGATTGCCAGGAGACTGACAGACAGTACCTGCGAGCGGCTGACTGAGGAGGAGGGTCACCTGAACTTGCTGTTATCTGTTGCTGCTTCCACCGGTCAGCCCTCAAGTTGCACTTTGCAGTTTCTGGGAACTCTGGGAGGTCTGACAGTCCACATCTTGATTGACTCGGGCAGTAACCACTCTTTTCTCAGTTCTACTGTTGCAGCTCAACTTCAAGGAGTCACTCCAACAACTAGGCCTGTGATAGTGAAGGTGGCCAATGGAGGTTCTATGCAGTGTTCTGAGGAAATTCCTTCAGCTGAATGGTCTGTCCAAGGTTATACTTTCCATTCAAACCTGAAGATTGTCCCACTCAGCTCATTTGACATGATAGTGGGTATGGACTGGCTTGAAGCCTTTTCCCCAATGAAGATTCACTGGCTACAGCGCTGGATTTCACTTCCTTATGGATGCTCTACTGCTGTCCTTCATGGGATATGTCATCTCCCCCTCAAGACTGTCAGCTGTTGCAGTTATTCATGGTGGCCACAGACTCACCATCTGATCGGCCAGAGACAATACATCCTGACATACAGCCTGTGCTCAAGCAGTTCGAACATCTGTTTGCCGAGCCCACAGAACTACCTCCTCGCCGAGAATGTGACCACAAAATACCTCTGGTTCCTGGAGCAAGTCCTGTATCAGTCCGGCAGTACGCGCTATTCCCCAGTCTTGAAATCTGGAATTGAGACCCAGGTGTCAGATATGCTTCAGACAGGATTTATTCATCCAAGTAAGCCTTCTCCTCTCCTGTTCTGATGGTCCGTAAGAAGGATGGCGGTTGGAGGCTATGCGTGGACTACCGGCTACTCAATGCAATCACAGTGAAAACCAAATTTCCAATACCCGTGATCCATGAGTTGCTGGACGAGTTAGCCGGTGCCCAGTGGTTTACAAGCCTTTGATCTGCAAGCTGGCTTCAACCAGATACGGCTCACTAAGTAGAGAAACGATCTTTGATCCACTTCGAAATTTGGCTTTAGTCCCGGTATTTTTCGCGCCTGGGACTAGAGAAACCTTTAGTATCGGTTGGTAGCTCCAACCGGGACTAAAGGTCCTGCCCAACGGCTACTGCGGCAGGCTTTTGCTGCAGGGGACCTTTAGTCCCGGTTGGAGCTACCAACCGGGACTAAAGGTTAACTTTTACTCCCGGTTGGTCCCTTTAACCCGGAGTAAAAGTCTACTCCCGGCTAAAGGCTCCGTCCGAGACTAGAAAGGGACCTTTAGTCCCGGTTGCTGTCTCCAACCGGGACTAAAAATCTCCAACCGATTGAGCTCTGTGGAGTGCCGGCCGCGTGACGGCTCAGCGAGTATTATTATTAACTAGTCACCTACAGTAGTGTTGTTGATCGAGAGGTGCGTGTGTATGTTCTTTCCATGGCTACGGCCAGAGCGAAGTGGGCGACGATGTCTGGGAGCGAGTCGATCGAGACACTACGTACGTAGAAGTAGCTGCTACACTAGCTAGCTAGCTGTTCACCGTCAAGACGTGTAAGCCAACAAAAGCGATCGTCTCTCTCTGCTAGGATCACCTCGATGGGGTGGCTCAACTCAAGCCCACACGAGAGAGAGAGCATATACCGAATAGAGCGCCCAAAGACATAATATCTTTGGAATTGTGGCTGGCCCCACCTATTAGCACCACCTTGCTTGCTCAGAAGAGTGAAAGCTAACTTAAAAGCTCAGCTCTCGAACCATGCAGCACGAACTTGAACAGGATCTGTTCTATAGGATTGTACCGCTGCATCCTTGACTAAAGGCCCTTCATATTATACTTTATACAAAGTGTTGAACTTTATAAACGTTTATTCTAGCAGTGTAGAATGCGTATTCAAAAATCAAAACGAATCATCAATTGAAAATAAAAAAAAAGAAAATAGAAATAGAAACAAAAAAAAGAAAACCTTAAGTTCGGTAGCAGCGTGAAAATAGAACGGTAGCATCGTGTAAATAGAGAAAAAAAGGAAAATAGAAATAGAGCAGCGTGAAAATAGAATGGTAGCAGCGTGTAAATAGAAAAAAAAGGAAAAAAAAGAAAAAAAACCTTTAGTCTCGGTTGGTATTACCAACCAATACCAACCGGGACTAAAGGGCCGGTCTACGTGGTCAGACCGGGAGGCCTCTTTAGCCCCGATTCGTGCTCCCGGTTGGGAAACCGGGACTGAAGGGGTTTTCCAACCGGAAGTATAGCTTGTTTCTGTACTAATGGCTAGTCCCAGGGAAAGAACACAAGACCACTTTTCAAACACATTGGGGACAATTTGAATTCACAGTGATGTCTTTTGGACTTACCGGCGCACCCAATACAAGGGGCTATGAACACGGTACTGCACCCACTGCTAAGGAAATGCGTCTTGGTATCCATCACTACTGGAGACGGCCTATTAACCCTCGACAAAGAGCTCTCGGGGAATTTTGAGTCGGCGAAGAGGGTCTTTGCCGAGGGCCCTTTATCGGACACTCGGCAAAGCCTTTGCCGAGGGTGGACCAAGACTTCAAAAAAAAGCAAAGCGTCCGCCGTGGCGGCGCTGGGACGGAGTCTTCTTGAGGGCCGTCTCCGGGGGCCCTCGGCAAAGAATTATTCTTTTTTTTTGAAAAATCTTTGACGAGGGCCTCCAACCATGGCCCTCGGCAAAGAAATGTTGCAGAATTTTTCTAAAAAATCTTTGCCGAGGGCAATGGGATGGCCCTCGGTAAAGAATTATTCTTTTTTTTGAAAAATCTTTGCCGAGGGCTTCCCCGCAGGCCCTCGGCAAAGAAATTTTAATTTTTTTAGAAAGTCTTTGCTGAGGGCCTCCAACCATGGCTCTCGGCAAAGAAATGTTCCAGAATTTTTCCAATGAATCTTTGCCGAGGGCAATGGGACGGCCCTCGGCAAAGGACCCTTCTTTGCTGAGGGCCGAATTGCCCTCGACAAAGAGGCAGAAATTTAATTTTTTTTGTTTTTTCATTCCATCGACACAAGCATTTCATATATATACACACACACATATATATATATATATATATATATATATATATATCAACCATTATATATATATATATATCACACAGAACCCATTTTCTCACAATATATCACAATCATAATTATGAACCACAAATCACAATATATTACAACGACAAGTCATATGTTCATCATCATTCACATGTTTATTACGACAAGTTCATGAAATCCAAGCACAAGATAGAACCATAAACCACAAATATTACAATAAAGTCCAACCACATCACCTAGCACTAGTCCTCATCAAGGTAGCCTATGAGATGGTGGTGAAGGAAAGGCGGGATCACCCGGTGACGCACTACCGGGATGATTGGAACCCGCGGACGGAGGCTGCACAAAGGAGCAGAGATTGCATGTGTGAGTAATCCGGGAAAACAGTTTTGGAACTTAGAGATTGCATCTAGTAATCTAGGAATACAAAAAGATTAGACTCAATTGAAAATTTCAGCAGCACCTCCCTGTACGGGGAGGTTTCCAAAACCTGCAAGAAACAACGGCACGAACGCCGTCATCCACAATGGCATGAACACCGACATCCACAACGACTCAATTGAAAATCTCAGGCCTCGGTGTTAGCACCTCCTCGTACGAGGTGCTCTCGTCTGATGATGACAAGGCTTCCTCATCACTCGGTCCCGGGCTTGGCTCGCGCAAAAATTTCAAATTGCATCATTGGCCAAACAGATAGTAGGAGGAGAGTAAGTGTAGCAGCTAGTACTAGGAGTAGGAGTAATAGTAGTAGTAGTAGTAGATAGTAGTAGTACACTAGGAGTAGTAATAGTAGATATCAGTATGCAGTAGTAGTAGGGTAGTAGAATAGTAGCAGGGGAGTAGTAGTACATATTTGGCTCAGATTTGCCCCATTGTAATCACATAGCCTCTAAATTGGTTGCTTGTATATGGTATGCAAGCCATCCTAGTTTAGCGGCTCACAAGTATGGGGACATTTCATCATCATTGTTCTTGCCTCAAAGATACAAAGTTTCACATCATTGCATATGCCATTGCCTCAAGACAATTGGTTTAGAAGTTTGAACAAATTCATCATTGCAAATGCCACAAATTCAGTTAGTAGATAGAGAAGCAAGTAGTAGTAGTAAGCAACTTAAAATTTGGCATTTGCTCGAAAAAATTGGCATCATAGGCTTTGGCATTTGCTCGTAACAAATTAGCATCATAGGCAATGGCATATGCTAAGCATTCCAAATATTGGCATCACAAAAACAATGGAAGCTAACTGAGCTTAGCAATGGAAATCTAAAATTCCAAAAATTGCATAACATTAGCTAGGGTTCGTCATCTACATCACCAACCAACAGGAGTAGTAATAGTAGATATCATTGATGATTAGTAGTAGGAATTTAGTGAGTAGTAGATAGCAGTACAAATAGTAGGAAATAGCAAGTAGGGTAGTAGAGAGCAATGACCAGCCAACACCATTAGTAGTAGTAGTAGTAGAGACTAGATAGAGTAGTAGAAATAGGAGCTAATAGCATGGGAGTAGTACATGAAGTAGCAATAGTAGTAGTAATAGTAGTAATAGTAGATATCGAGAGTTGTAGCAAGAGGCGATTAAATACATAAACATGTTTGCTTGTAAATAATTGTTCTCAAAATAGCGGGTTGTCTGCACCAAGCAGCCTTCCAACGCTTGTTGGTGATCATCGATCCTTGACTAATGTGACTGCCCTTCTTTCCAAAATAATGAGTTCTAGATCAAAAATTAAGTGCCTAGAAAAATAGCAATATAACCAAGAAAATAAGTTATGAAGATTAGTACAAAACAGGTTATATGCTCATAGGATTAACCATCCGATCAACTAATAAGCAGTTCAAATTAATAGATAAATTGCTAGGCAAATAATTAAACAGATCTTTGAAAATAATCAACACTCTAGAATCTGGTCATCACGTTGTCTCACTACACCACTTTGTATCATCGAGCAACAAATTAGTCGCTTAATAGTGCAATCACACCCAAGTTATAGAAACTAGCAGATTGCACATTAAAAAATAATAGAGGCATCATAGGCAGCTATAGAATTAATCACAGGCATCACATAGGCAACAAGAAAAGGGGATCCAAAACCTGCAGGGAGGAAGAAAAGGGGATCCAAAACCTGCTAGGGTTCAGGCTCCCTACGCGGAGGAGGAAGAAGACGGACGGAGGGACGTCGAGCAGGAGGAAGACGGCGTGGGGAAGGAAGAAGACAGTGCAGAGACGGAGAGTGCGCCGGGAGGAAGAAGATGGATGGGGAGGAAGGCGACAGCGGACGGAGGGACACGACCGCTGCTGCCAGAAATGGCCGACCGGCACTGACCACCACCTCTGGGCGGTTGAGGCGAGGGGCGGTCACTGAGCCGAGCCGGGAGGGCGCGGCAGGCGATGGGCGTGGTCACGGGCGAGAGGCATGGGAGGGATGGCGCAAGACGCGTGAGGCGAGGAGGTGGTTCGGCCGGCGGGCAAGAGGTGTGGCAAGTGTGGGGTGGGGGTGGTGGTGGGGTGGGCGGGGAGTGGGAAGGGTGGCTTAGGGTTGGGCCGACGGGGGTTGGGCGGTGAACTTGTAGTGCCCAATTGTTTTTGAAAATCATCTTTGCCGAGTGCCTCCTCCTGGCCCAAGACTTAGAAGTAAAACCCACTTTGCCGAAAGTGCCCCCATGGCACTTTAAGAAAATATTTTTTTTGATTTTGGGCCCAAATTTTTTTCTGGGGCCTTGTGACAGTATTTCAAACTCTATTTTAAAATTTGGGGTA